AATCTCTTGCACATAACTGATGTCCATAAAATCCAATTTTATTGTAGTGAAGTCAATAAAAAGTCTAAGCTTTAGCATATAGACCACCAAAGATCTCTCCCATACCAACACCTCTTACACGTTTCACCACCTGGGCTTAATCATAGAGGATCCTCTGTAATCCTCTATGACTAAGCCCAGGTGGTGAAACATGTAAGAGGCGTTGGTATAGGAGAGATCTTTGGTGGTGTATATGCAAATCCTTGGCCTTTGCATTTAATTCACTACTATAAAATTGGATTTTATGGACACCGGTTATGTGCAGCAGATTTGTGGAAGTATCGTTTGGGAAGTGAGAGCACACTATAGCCTGAGCCCGGTACATGTCCTGATTTGCAGTCAGAGATGGAATCGTAGAGGTGAGTCCTGGCAGTTGTGGATAACACTTATTTTATATATGTTCCCATTCATATAGCATAAGCTGAAAATAATATTTAAAAAATGCTTCTTGCAGTTTCAATTGCTTTTACTTGGTTTAAGGGCTAAAATTTCTACTCGCTTCTGCTTCTTTCTACTGTTATGAGGTTTAAAGGATGAAAAGCCTGGCTTCTGTTCAGAAAAGATGTCCTTGAGCTGGAGAGAGCTCAGAAACGGGCAACTAAACTAATTAAGGGGCTAGAGGACCTAAGCTATGAGACAAGGTTACTAAAGTTAAACTTGTTCACGCTGGAAGTGAGGAGATTAAGAGGGGATATGATTTTGATGTACAAAATGTTTAGTGGTGAGGGCAACATCAGCAATAAACTGTTTACGGTAAACTCCATAACAAAGACTAAAGGCCACCACCTAAAACTGGTGGAGAAAAGATTTAACCACAAGGGGCGTAGGGACTTTTTTTTTCAGTTAAGCTAAAACTACCTAAGAAATCCTTTTTTTCAAGTTGTAATGAATCAGAATGGGGTGCTGCAAATGCATTTAAGCCAAACTAGAAATTAAAGTTAAAAAGACTGATTAGACTTCCAAAACATGTGATGCCAGAATATGGTGTCACTGATGCTTTCTGTAAAAATCACCACACACAGTCTTAGGGCATATCTCAAGCATATAAATAAAAGAACTCATGTTTTCCATGTCACCCTTAAAGTTGCATTAAAAGGAGAATCCACTCCAAACTGTGTTTTTTTGCATTGGTACATGTCGCCCCATGGCAATTCCCAGCTCCCCATGCCTTTTTTGACAATCCCTTGCCTATTAATCTTAATTACAACTGGAACTGATTTTCAAGATTTGCCTTCCATAGTCTTCAATGGTGTTTGAATTTAAGTTTGAAATTTGTAAACTTCCTACTGGTTAGGGAAACCTCACAAATTGAACACAATCACATCTGCTCATCCCTACTGAGACCAGGCAAGGTAAAAAGCAGGAGAAATTGTCAAGTGCAGGACAAAGATTATGGCAGGTGGGCATCAATTGTGGGTGACAGCAAGCAGAACAGTGGGGAGAAAGACAAATGAAAAAAAATTTAATGACAGGTCAAGGTGAAAAAAGAAAACTGATACAGACATTTAGGATACTGCAGCGCACAGAAGCTGATAGGAACCTTTTTCTCAGTTTAAATTCCGTACAAAAAGTCATGTTTAAAGCAACCCTTTTTAATTTGTCAATGTTCACAGAAACTGCTGCCAAATATGAATTATTCTCTTTATAAACAACTCAACAATCCGTTATGAGACCCATTATGACTACTGAGATCCGTTATGACTACTGACAAAGATGCCAGACGTTCATATGGAAGGTACTACTGAATCAGGTAGTTACACATACAGGCTGTGGCACATGATAACTTTCATTACAAAGCATATTTTTAATTTTTGGTTTAATCTAACATCTTGCAAATCCCCATACATTATTTACACAATTTACATTCAATATATGCATTCATACATTCATAGACTGGTTTTAAATGCAGGGATGTTTTTCTTAATTTTTTTTATTAAGCATGTCTAATTTCATGACTGCAACTTTAAACCAATGCAGTTTAACAAGCACCACAGTGCAGCAATGATAAGACTGCAATTTCAGGTCACTGCAGCAAGCCTGCGAGAGCTACATTGGATGACTTTGCAGTAAAGGTAGTAAGTATACTGTACGTTCCTACCGCTGATAAATATGATGCCATTCACATTTTATGCTGTCTAATTTATCATTATATTATACACTTCTTACCCACAGCTGCCTTTACCATGTATGCTAACCACTGCAGCATTCATTACTGTTGGACTTCTGCCAAACCATGCCTAAAATGCAGTATTTTGAAAGGCGTTTTAGCTAATGTTTCTGAAATGCACGCTATCTCCTACTGATAGTTTTTTTCCATTTGCTCGGTGTGAAAAAAAAAAAAAAACCCACATGAATTGCACTTTAAATTCAAGCCTGAGAAACGTGTGGTTTATTTGTATTCAAGATCCGGGTAACAACAAGTTTGAGAAGGACAAGTGAAAAGGTACAGTCCATTTATTTTGATATTATTGTCCCTATTTTGTAATCAATTGATTATAAATGATTGCTGCCATTTCAGCATAACAATAAAGCTATATGCTTGCCTGATTTTCTACTGTTTATCTGCAGCTGTAATAATCAATTACATTAGACTGGAATTTGATTGATTCCCTATTTATAGTAAAATCTATGTGCTCACAGTTATATTTATATGTTTCCATTCAGTATATTTTCTTACTTTTAAATACATATGTTTGGTGTATACTGGTGCAATTTAATACTTTTATATTACCTGTTATACAAAGAACAAACCTTCCCTTTCTCCAGAATAAATGTAAGGATCTTCAGTTAACACAGTCTGCTCTAGTCTAAAGTATTCCTATTGGATATTGTGTGTGATGTTTATGAGGTGTGATGTGCTGTCTCAGGCATTACGTTTCTGCTAAATGATAATATGAATTGAACTTTTTCCTTAGAGAAATTTTAAAACTAGATTTTAAACACACACACACGTGTGCGCAAAGTTATGTATGTATGTATACGTGTGGGGAAACATACACAACTTTAAAATAATGTGCAAAAAATAATATGTGTATATTAAACAATGACATTGTTTGAGAAATGGCAGTCTTAGAATTTAAAGTCTCCCCTATGTCTTCATTATTATAGAATCTGTAAAATAAATCCCTAACATTTTTTTATCCATTTCTACTGTATTGTGCCTGTAAATAATGATAATATATCTACAAATGATTTTGTTAATTGAATTGCTTTTATTTTAATGCATCTAACCAAACATATAGGATAGTTCCCTTCAGCTATGTAAAAAATAAAAAAATTAGCACTGCTGAACTATACATACACTAAAGGCCCATTCATGCTATCCTGTGGTAATGTGCAGTAAAACATGCATTTTACCGCGAATTATTGCAACATGTTAGACATAGAGCGGTGCGTTCTGGGGCCATTTATTTTGAATAGGTTGCCAAAGTACCTAAGCATCAGAGCACACTGCTTTTGCATTGAAGCACACACAGTAATGCCTAGATGTAAACCAGCTGTGCATAGTGGTGCATTGCATTAAAAAATATAGTGCATTTCCTTTTCTCCATGCTTTAAGGTGTGTTAGCAGTAAAATGAATATGCTGCCTTAATGAAGCGTGCCTTAATGCAGGCCTCAAAATTTCCACTTGCCCCCTCGCAATTGGCGAGTGAAAATTGCGGGGGGGTGAGTGGAATGTCAGCAATGGTGCCTCGCCGGCGGGACTAGGGATGGAATACTACCGCCGCGGCAATCGCTCGCTCGCTTCTGTTTTCTCTTCTCTTTCTCGCCTGCTGCAGCTACAGAGCAATGTATGGAAATGTTCTGTGCTAACACATGGGCATTCATGCAAAACATTGTGTTAATGAGTCCTTAATGTAAACCTGTCATGAAAAATATGGGACAAGAACAGGTGAGGCGCTGGATTCAAAAACTCAGAAATCGGCAGTAACGTAATAAAGCACAATGGCTCTGGTAAGACCGCTCTTAACAAAAATGGGATATCCCAAATAAAAGGGAATCCATGGTTGAAGATATAGATATATACAGTCCAATGAGAGCACCAAATAAGAAAGACTAACAGGGTTATTCACTAAAGGGTGAAGAGTTTGGAGAAGTCAGGAGAAGTGAACAATCTAGGACAACATAGCTGAACTGGAATGTAAGTTGAAGTGGAGAATTTTTCCAAATCAGCTATTTTGGCCTAGATTGTTAACTTCTCCTGCCTTCTCCAAACTCTTCACCCTTTTGTGAATAACACATTTATTAATTTATTAATTGAATGAGTTCATAGATGACAGTAAAGAATAGTCAATGCTTTTCAGGGTTTTAAAGATCTCCACCTTCTTTAAAGATCTCCACCTTCTTTAGGGCTGAAACATGATAGATAGTATTATGGGCTCAAATATTGGCACTAATCACCAGGGATTCATTATTTTCTGTGTAGGGTATAGCCAACATCAGTGAATCAGCAAAACTTAACTTGAGCTTTCCTGATTTACTGATGTTGCTATACCCTTAACAGGTTTTCATTCTAGGGAGTTCTCTGAAACCCCAAAATGTGCTGGCTGTTCTGTATTGTCATGTATGAACCATTCCATTATTAAAAATTTTTGGACTCTCATTCTGCAGCAGCTGATAGACACTCCATAATTGAATCACCTTGACCTACTAACGCTGAGATTTTTGTATAAAATGTTCCCATTTTCGGTTAAAGGAATTCTAAGGTAACAGCATATACTGTACTATCCTGGTGTAACATGACCATTGTAATAGGGATACATATCATAGTTGATTTTGATAATGCAATCAAAGCTTACTTGAAAAAATCCCTTTTATGTGGTGAGTGCTGCCTTTCATCTGCCCATCACTTTCAACAACTTCCTGGATTCCCAGTGTGCTTTCTCTTTCAGTCTCTAAAACTCCTAATGGCATTCCTATGCAATAGACAAGGTATTATACTCACCACTCTAGGAGTCACATGCCTCCTACCTTCACTCCAGCACTGCAACTTCCATACGACTCTCCTCAGAATTCAAATCTCCCAGGAGTGTCCGCGGTATTGAATGCTGAAGAGTCTTATGAAAGCTTTAGCACTGGAATAGGACAAAGGTAAAAGAGACGGGACTCCAGAGAGGTGAGGATAATCCCTCGGGAAGTGCCATTAGGATTTGTTTTAGAGACTGACAGGGTCTTTGTAAGTTAAATTAGAATGTTTTGCCAGTTTCCTATTTGAGCATGTTTATATTGTGTGCATTTAAGTGTATGTCAAGCCAAAACTGTTTTAGATAGAGTGAGAAGGGTTAATACCCCTATTGGGTTTTTACTGCTATTCTGGGCTCTATTAGAGAGATTTCCCCTTTACTTCTTGTCCACTTGACAACATTTTACTAAAGTGGGCAGAACTATCAAAGAGCAACATGGACAGAAATAACAAATATTTTCTTTATTACACAACTCCAATTCCAAAAAAGTTGAGACGCTGTGTAAAATCTACATAAAAACAGAAAACAGATTTTTAACTTTTTTGAAATTGAGGTTATAGTAGTGAAAGACTAGAACCTCTGTCACATTTTTATCTCTGTCTGTGTCCCTGTTGCAGATCTTCCATTACTTCCTGTCTGATGAAACCTTTTTCACCTGAAGAGGAAGTAAGGAAAACATCTCAAACAGAGCCCCACATAGCATTAAATATACAGGGGTCTGTAATCCACCCTCTGTCTATACAAAATGGAAACAAACGTTTTGGCTTTACATACAATCTGGGTAAATGTTGTTTCTTTGAAGTTATGTAGGACCACCATCGAAGCCAGTGGTGCAGAAGTATTTTTCTAGAAACCAATGATCCCTGCCCATCCCAAGGTTTTCCTCTTTAGGTTTACTATAGACACCAATATTGGTACTATTACTACCATTATCCCCATCAAGAAATGTTTCTGTCACCCTCCTCATCACACCTCTCTATTACATCTTATTTCTCATCGTCTTGCAAAGCTGGATGCATTTATTCAGAGAGCACAACCAGCTGCTTGGCTGGTTTTGCTGATACCATGCTGCAACAAGTTTAGGTGCAGCTAGCGTTGCTTTTCTGAAGGGCAATGGAAATAAATTTCTTAATGCCATATGAACTCCCACCTTTTTTGTTAGAGATTTTTTAAAAAATAGTTTGCTCCACTAAAGGTCTTTATTTTATTTATATTCTTTTTTAAAGGTTTTTTTTTTAGTTATTATTAGGTATACATGTAAAAGCAATCAACTTCATGTGTATTGTCAAAGTGTGCTAATGTTCTAAAAAACTTGAGCAATTAATGTGGAATTTATATCATTAGTAAAGTACACTTAGGATGAATGTTTCTCCACATATCATTTTGTCAAATATTTGGAACACACATGTCAAAACACATTTCAACATAGAAATGCACATAAAACAGACAGTTCCATTCTAGTATGTAAATTCAGCATTGGTAAAATGAATATATAGGCCTTAATCCAGAACTGGATGCAGAAGTACATCCTGTGCCTGCGTCACTTTGGGCAAAGTTCCAATGAGGTGGGACTACGATATTCAATTGGCCTGCCTTGTCTGTCACAGTTCAATGCAGTTTGAAGCTAAGTGGATGCTTCAAGGAGGGCAGGTATTTATTGAGCCGTTTTTTACCATTCAACCATATTCCCCTTGAATGAAGCCGGTATCTGGTACGTGCATTGTACACCACCTGTAACACTCATATGAACAAGGCCTGGGGTAAAACTGAAGACAACATTTTATTTCCGCAGATACAAAATTCATCATTTAAAATTTAAAAAAGGAGAAATGTCATCTACAGAGGGTAACATTAGCCAGGATGATGATAGCTTTAGCTCACAACCTAAAAGCATATCACATCTGGTATCCAATCTGAAGCCTTCAAACAAGATCAGACGCAAGAAAAGGACTAATTTGTCACCTTCTGCTGGGGAGAAGGTATGTTTGTTTTCATTTATTCACTCTTTTGCATGAATGCATCTATATATAGCTGAGCCTATTACTGTATGTGTTAAATTGACAACATATTTTGTATTACAATACCAAGCACACTTCTTTTTGTAAATATTTGGATACTTTGGTTGGTTACATCTTAGAGAGACCCTGGCACAAGACCTCACTTTTTAAATGAAGTAGTAGTGGATAAGAAGCACTTTTCCATGTTTCCACTCTTTAAAAAAAAACAAATTCCCCATGTTGTGACCCGTGTAAATGTATTAGGAATCTGACCACTTCTAGGAAGTGTAATTTCTGTCTGTGTCAGCCCCTTCTCCTGCTCCTTCCCCTTGGCCCTATGTAGGCAGACAGCAGGAGCCTGTACAACTGCGTGTTAGCAAACATTAGGATTTTATGCAAGATCAGCAGTTTGTCAGCTATGCACCTATAAGGTAATTAAACAGAAGTGCTAATTGCAGCAGAGTTGTTAGTGCACAACGTTGTAAACAGAGCAGGAGGTGATTGTAATATGTGTAGGGTGAAGGAGGTGTCACTGCTTGTATTAATCAGTGCTGTCCTGTGTGTGAGTTCCTACTAACAGCCACTCTGCCTTGTCATCAGATAAATGAAATGCTGTTCAGTGAGCCTCAAACTTTAAAACATGATAGCAGGGGAATATTTTAGAGCCTTATTTTTGGGGAATACTTAGAGCCTTATTTGAGGGACAAACTCTGAGTCTGCCTGGGGCTGCTGATGTTACATCCAAGTTGGTGACACCCTATAGCATTCTCAGTCTGTTCAATAATATAAAATCTTCAATAATTACAGGGAGATTAAGTACACTAAACAAAGTAATTTGAAATGTAATCTTATGAGCACATTGTTGCTGATATTACTAATATGGGGGCAGAGTCTCTTTAATGGTTCAGTCCATCTAAATTTAAAAGTGTTATTTTAGTTTTTGGTTGATGCAGTTGGGTAAACCAGTTTTTTTATATCTGTTGGAGACTTTATTGGTGAGATTATATTATTATTATTATTATTATTATTATTATCATTATTATTCAGGATTTATATAGCGATCTGGCTCTTTGCGTT